GAGGGAACAGTTGATATCTCCTACCATATGGACAGGACTGATTCCCGTCAGCTTACAGTTGCCATTTAGGGATTTTTCCAAAGCAATTATCCAATAGTATTTGGGATGAAATGAGAGGGTATTAGAGCTTATTGTACAGTAGAACGTCGATATAACACGAGATACATTCCAAGAGTGGTCGCTTTAAACCGAATTCGCACTAAATAGAAGTGTTGCTTCAATGGAATAATTTAGTTTGGTACTTGAGAGAAACACAAAATACTAAAAAGACTGAGAGTCTACCCAGAGCGCACCTCAGCCCATCTCCTAGAATAAACAAAACATTGTTTTTTGTATTATTATGTTAAAACAAACACTCATAAATCAACACAGCTAAAATTATGGGACGTGAAATGGTCTGTTTACTAGCGATCAGCTGATGGGAAGGGGGGGGGTGAGGTGATATGTTTGACAGTTGATGCCAAGGTCTAGTGCTTATTTATTTATCTGTCCTTAAGAGTGACTTAAGTTTTTCTCTTATAAAATGTCACTGAATTGACATGGGAGAATATAAGTAACATTGCTGGAATTCTTATAAAATAGTGATTAGTTTGAATATATACATGCTATAGTTCGCATTAGACATACAAATTTTAGTTCTAATTAATTTTATTACAAAGAGCTAAAATTTTTATCTCTTGTGCAAAAATATGACGTTTATATTCAAATTATTCGCTGTCTTACAAGGATTCTAGCAATGCAAATTATATTCTCTAACTTTAGTCTGTGATATTATATAAGATAAAACTGTAAGCCTACAACCACCAAACCCTGGCTGGGAAGATGAGGGGGTGGGGGGGGGGAGGGAGGGAGGGAGGGAGGGAGAGAAGGGTGATAGTGACATGTTTGACAGTTGGGGCCGAAGATCTAGTGAAGTATTTATTTGCTTATTTATGTCCTTTAGATTGAGTTTTGGTTTTTTGTTAATAAAATGTCACAGAAGAGACCGGGGAGAATATAATTTACATTGATGGAATTCTTATAAGATAGTGATTAATTTTAATATAAACATGCTATAGTTTGCACTTGACAAAAATTTTAGTACCTGTAATCATTTAGTACATTATTTTGAGTACATGTACAGTAAAGCTTTGCCCTTAGGACAGTGTAGCGTGCCCAGAGAAACATTAGGTGCAAAATTTAAAATATGATGGGCCAGATTGACTCGCGCAAAATAGAAAAGATTCGCTTTAAATTAAAACATTGTCCTTAATTGTGGGTGTCGCTTTAAATCGATGTTCTACTGTACCAAAACCTAATTTACCTGCACCTATTTTTTTTAAATAACTCGCTCAAGTCATTTTAAATTTGCCGCGTATTCGCCTGGCAGCAGAGTCACGTGTGATGCCTGGTGAGGTGCTTGCAAGTACTGTATTACTATAAAGTCACAGTTATATCAACATCAACAATTTTAATATTATTATTAATAATAATAATAATTATTATAATAATGTAATAATAAAGATTATTACTGCTAATGATGATGATAATGAAGTATTCTGAACAACAACTGTGACAACCTCCATCAAGCTTCCCGTGTACCACTTTCGCAGTTCACACCAGCACTACTTTTTTTCTGCTCTCATTTGCATTGTGTGTTTATCACGTAGCTTTTTAGTGTTAAACGCTGTCTCCCCCATCAAGCAAGTCTGGAAAATATCCATCTGCCTAACCTCCCCTGGGGCAACTAATGCTAAAAAGGCACAAAAAACAATCGCAATGGACGGAAAATTAGATGTGATCACCCGCCTTCAGAGAGGAGAGCGTGTGTCGGAGGTTAGCCGTGTACAGTAATACCCCGCTTTACACGGGTTTTTTTTAAGCGTTTCTACATTTACGCGGTACCCCGCCAGAACCGGAATGTTCACTTTACGCGGTGCATCTACTCACATACGCAGGAAGCGACGCGGGCAGGGTGCGCACAAGGTCGCCCAGTCATCAAAACATTACCGAGTTCTTCACCCGCCACCCACCACAGCCGGCCCAAGTCAGTGATAGAGAGGATATGGACTTATATGGACTTTGAGGGGTTTGACAAAGAGGCCCTGCAAGCCTCTGTGGTGGATAGTGATACAATTGATACAGGTGAGGGCCAATAATCTGCCCTCTGCCTCGGAACCAACCCCCCATCCCCGTGTGCCCAGCCATCTTTTCTACTTATGTAAGTGTTAAAAAACCTAATATTATTGATATTTCTCTTCATTATTAATTGTGTGTGCATACCATCATAAAATCAAGAAGTTATTTTTACTACAACGTAGGTATTGTGTCTGAAAAAGTGGAGTTTGGGGGTCGGCCAAGTCTCTATTTCAATTAATCCGATATGTTATGTTGTTCACTTTACGCGGGCCTCCGTGAGTTAAACTGACCGCGTAAAGCGGGGTATTACGGTACTTGGTTTAAGTGAGAGCACTGTTCGTATCATTTGAGACAATGTTGAGAAGATAAAGAACAGTGTATTTCCTATTGTTTTTCCTTTATTATCCGTTTTTTTTCTTTATGAATGAGTAAGGTAAAAGAATAATTACAGTGGTCCCTCAGTTAACGAACGGTTCGATTAACAAAATTTTGGTTAAAGAATTACCTCATGGTGCTTAAAACAAAGGCTCAGGCCACGCCAGCAAGCGCAGTGGAAGCATTTTGAACTAGGCCAATATAAAACTAAATGTACTTTATCGAATTAATGTAGACACGATTCATGAAGGTAAGGGACAATTATTAAATTTAAACTTATTGTAGATCATTTCTCAGTCTAAATATGTTACGTGTGACCCAAAGAAACTATTAGTTACCCGAAAGATGACGTCACTAGGCTAGGCGGCCGCCTTGGGGAGACGCGAGGCGGGCTGGGTCAGTAGCGCACAGGCGTTTGGCCCAAGCGGACGTCGTCCACATGTCTCTGCCAAGGAAAACGACCACGTAGCCTCGTCCCTTCCCACGCACGTTTCATCAGTAATGCAAGTAAGTTTTATTCGATCTCAGACAGTGTTTAGATAGGGCGGAGAAGAAGTTAACAATAGCTAACAGAGTGTCCTCTTGTAGGGTTTTCGAGAACCCACTCGGTCAGTCGGTCGGTCGGTCAACGAGTGTTTAGCGGTCGTATAGCCGGCCACGCACGAGGTGAACGGGTGTCCCTAACGACCACGTGGGATCAGCGTCCGCACTTGGTCGGTGGTCGTTCTGGGTCATCAAAGCTCCCCACCTTGGTTCATACATCTCTTCAGTCAGTCAGTGAAAAATCTCACTAACAGGAAAATAGAACCCCTCCCTCAGCTGGGCAGGGTTCACCTGCTGACAGTCACTCTCTTCCTGTCCATGGAGTACTGAGAGTAAACTGAGTGCAGCCTGAGTGAATGAAAGGTCACACACTGAGACCAGGAGTCTAGTGGGTACATAGAGACATTTATCTCCCCAGTATTGGGTGTATGTGATCGAATTAACCAAGTCCAGGTGTGTAATCAACACTCCTCATGGTTGATTGCACACGTGGGATGTAGGGGTTCTTCTTCAAGGTTGATGAATGGCTGTAACACCTTAAAGTATGGGTGTGTTCTGGACATATGGGTGAAGGTGGTAAAGTGAGATTAGTATAGTCAAGTACAGGTGTGAGATCAACGTTCCTCATGGTTGATTGCACACGTGGGATGTAGGGGTTCTTCTTCAAGGTTGATGAATGGCTGTAACACCTTAAAGTATGGGTGTGTTCTGGGCATATGGGTGAAGGTGGTAAAGTGAGATTAGTATAGTCAAGTACAGGTGTGAGATCAACGTTCCTCATGGTTGATTGCACACGTTGGATGTAAGAGTTCCTCTCCAAAAGTTGTGAAAGGCTGTTAGTACCTTAAAAGTACGGGTGCATTCGGAACCTATGTGTGAAGCATGTTACGGGTGTTGGTGGAGAAAAACATTCATGACTCCTGAAATCTAGAGAGAGTAATGAAAGAAACAGCAGAGCACCCGCCTGCCTGATGGGTCATGAGTGATTTTCTCGGTTTCTTGTAAATGCCTGCCCCTTGGCGGGTTAGTAGTCACGACCTTCGGGTTCTGGGTAGTTAGGATAGTTAGGGTTATAGTATTTTGTGGGTCATTCCAGACAGGCTATGAGTGATCCATGTTCTTGTGTAGTATGACTAAAATCGGGATTTCTATTTCTCAGTGATTGCTATTATTTTGTCTGAGGCCATTAAGGCATGTTCATTGGTGCAAGTAATATTTTTTTTAATTTTTTATGTGCCACTAAGTGGTGTAAGATAACGAAGGAACTGTTTCAGATGAGTTCCTCGCTCTAGTGTAGGTAGCACTGCTGCCTTAGTAGTCCTCTCCAGATGCATTTAATGTTTTGCAATAATTTTTGATACCATGTATAACTTTTGTTTCCCATTGTAATGTTTTTAAGCCACACTAAGATGTACTCTACTGTTGGTGTACCATTATTGATAAAGCTACGGTCACGGAGAATAATTTTATTTAATTGTGTTTGTGCTGGTTCGAGACACACACACGTAAAAGAAATAATTGTCCTAGGGGCAAACACATAAAGGAAATATACATTTCTTTGCACACAAGTAAAAATGTAACCCCCCCCTACCCCCCTGGTATGCAAATGATATTCACAGATTTGGCTATTTGCAGCCATTTCGTGAGCCAAACCCCTACAAATTTTAAGGGCATGCTGTATTTTAAATATTTTTGGACCATCTCACCTCAGGTAGTTTCCTTAAATTAAGTGATTCAAGATGTATAAAAGGACTTGGGCTTTGATATAGCGCACCTCGGGTATCTGTTCCGAATTACGTATATTTCCGACTTAAAAACATCCTCAGGAACAGAACCCATTCGTAATCCGGGGACCCTCTGTATTGAACAAATTTTGGGGGTTCATTTTATACCAAAAACTACCCTGGCTGCTCACCAATTATTACAATATAGAGAGATAATATTATAGTAAATATAATACTCACACATCACAGTCAAACATATTCCTAATTTTGAGGCAAGAGGTGGGAGGGACATTGGGAACATATTGTGGTCCAAGAGTATCAAAGGCTGGTCCCTGCCACATCTTGGTGGGGGGACGTCCTACACCACCGTCACCTCCCAGGGAATTGCTCGGGGAGTGCGGCATACCAGACGCCCACCGCCAAACTTCACAGTCTTCACCGCCAACTGCCTGGATTTCACGTCGTACCTACAAGAGACAAGGCCGTGTAGACAAATACTTGAAGACCATAGAACACTGCTTATTACATTAAAAATTTTGGTACCATTTGTTAAGTTACATACAATATAAAAAGTTCAAATATGTCTCATATAAGTTAAAAAAAATAAAACTAAACTTTGATATTGAGTAAATAAATAATAAATTCCAATATAAAAATTATTAAGTTAATTTCATGTGTATCCACAATCCTTGACATGTCAGTTAATAACAAATACAGTAAGTGGATTAATTGATTGATTTATTTATTATGGTAATTACATCTCTGGCAACACAACAGCTCAAGACATATACAGTATCACAGAATTAAAATTACGGCTTAAAAGACTAAAATAAAATAATGCAAGGTAAAAACACAATTAATTAATAACATAGAACTTTCATAAAGACCATTTAAACGTTAATAAATAAAACTCAAAGGTTGTGTAGAAGGCAGGCTTCCTCCACAAAGGAGAGAACATCCCCTACCGTGCCCCCCCCCCCCAGCACCAAAGAGAGACGGTAAGACCCATCTCTCTTTGGTGCTGGGAGAGGTGCTTAATATAAAGACCTCTGAGACTGGGACACTCCACCAGGAGGTGTTGAACAGTCAATGGGACCAGGCAGTTATCACAATGGGGAAGGGGCGCCCTCTCAAAAAAAAAAAAAAAAAAAAGTCAGCCGTGTGTGGTCAAAGCGGAGGTGGGCCATAGCAGTCTCCCAGCAGCGCGACAGTCCCTCAAATCCCCAGGCACTCAATGCAGGATGGATGTCACAGAGCTTGTTTGCTTCGATAGCATCCCTCCTGCATTTCAAACTCAAGCGAATGGCAGCTCTTATTACTGTTTCATATCAGAGCCGAGAAGCAGCTGCCTTCACCACAGCATCAGCACACTCCTTCCCCTTCTCCCCACATTGGCCAGAACCCAGCAAAAACTGACTTTCCAGCCCCGACGTTAGATGAGAAACAGCCACTGTAAAATATCTATAACTAAGGGATGGGGCAATGAGACACTAGCTAAGGCCTGAAGAGCACTACGAGAATCACTAAAAACTGTAAAATCTTACAGTAAAGGGAACACAACTTCCATCACAGTATACAAGTCCACTTAAAAGGGAACAAATTAAAGAAAAAATGGTTGACAATAAATTTTTAAATTTCATTGTAAAATTTTCATGAAGTATTTCAGCAGTCTGTGGTCAAATGGAAATGCTATTAAGTCCAGCCATTAAGCACAATAAATGTTCACTTTTTTATAGAAGCATGAAATTTGACAGTGGTAGAGTTTTATGTATTGAACAACTTCTGATATGGAGGCAAGCCAGGAAATTCCTTATTTGGAGAACAGCCCAGAAAATCCATAATGACCACTGGTGTCACCTACTGAAGTGGCCATATCTCCCTCCCTAGATTAGGTATGACAGTGATTTTGGTGCCCATGATCAAGTTTTTGGGGTCAAGGAATCCGTGTCTGACTTAAAAATTAAAATTTTATTTAACTCTTTAAGATCAAGATACCGGGAAGTATATAGCAAGTGGGTCAGAGGTGTATTGCTTAATTATTATATATGACCTCTGTTAATCCGGCAAAAGGGATGGTCCGGCAAGGTTCAGGAACCAAAGGTGCCAGAAAATCGGTGGTGTACCTGTACTGTACTGGGCCAAATTTTTTATTTGTTATTAGAATTATAAAACTTGGCACCATACTTATACTTGATATGCTAGAACCACAGTTTATCATATTCAAACTTGTGATAGCAATAAGAAAAAGATTTCAAATGCATGCGCTGGCTTTAACAAAGTTGATGCTTTGGGTGTTTGGACTGAATCACGTAAATTACTCTAGGTGGCTGTCTGTTCATATAAGAGACAAGTTTACTGACTGAAATGCACCCAGGCATTTTTTAGGCTTTTTCACCAGGTGCAATTACAGTGAATAAAACAAACAAACCATTTTCGAACCTTTCACTGGATCATGCTCATGAACAGCTAATTGCTTCTGTAAAGAGATGGAGGGACAATTGGTTTCACTGAAAACCCACCAGTCCTCAGATGCTGCATGATAGCTGGGCCAGAGATTGCAAGAATGGTCCAAGAGTATGATGAAGTTACTGGTCTTGGGGAACATTTTAAATATGGAAGCAGAGAACATGAACAGGCTGCCTTCCAAAAGCAAATGTTGGCACTGGTTGAGGTTTTCAGCATTCTTGGTAATCCCTTGATGAAGACAGTGGTGAGCTGTATGGTCTAGAATCCAAAGATGTAATGCCCAAAGAAACAGTTGAAGGTGTGAAGAATGTGGAAAAAATCGGTGCCGAGCAGTATGATGAATTTGTGTGGGAAAGATTCATCAACCGAACACAACCCACTACAGATCCAATTAACAAGAGCAAGTTGTCTCTCCATAACTGCACTTAAATCTAAATCAAACCTTGACGGCCAAGTCATGGCACCCCAGAAGGATCGTACTCTGTTGTGTCGGGCAATTTGGAGGAATATTTTAAATATGAAAACCAGCCAAGGCCTTGGCCACCATCTTTAACAAACAAGCTGGTTAATGTTATACCAGTGGTGCAGGCACCTGGCATGACACTTTGTGACTATGCAAAGAATTTTTAAGAGCTTAAAATCTCAGAACTGTGGATCGCATTTAAGAGTGGGAATCATATTAAAGAGATTCCAATCCAAGACATCCTCAATAAATTTGGGAGTGAAAAGGCAAAGCCTCTTCCATGCTTTATCTGGCTATGATACAACTTCAATCTTTGCAAAGAAGGAAAAAAAGCATGTTGGGACACTTGATCAGTTTTTCCAGATCTTACAATGTTTTTCATCTCACTGTCCTCTCAGCCAGACACACTGTCTTCCCTAGAACAATATGCTGTAGTTCTATTGTATGATGATCATCCGTCACCTTTGATGGATGTCAACACAGCAAGGCAAAGAATGTTTGCCAATCACTCGGGCACATCAAAAGAAATACCTTATGAAGCAGCTGTCCTTAAACAGCACATTTTGAGTATCAAGCTAGCTAGGTATGGACACAGTCACTAATTGCAGATCCTCGACTGCCCGATCCAAGAAACTGGGGTTGAGAGAAAAGCACCGAGTATTGTAAAATGTGGTTGCTGAGTTATAAAGTAACTAAATAAATTTATTTGAGTACTACACTCAAGAAACATTTTTGGGTATTTACTTTTTAAAAAGTATTCAATTTTTTTAATACTTTTACTTTTACTTAAGTATGGTTTTCTAATACAGTGGTCCCTCGGTTAATGAACACAATTCGTTCCAGAGGGTCGTTCGTTAATGGAAAATTTCATTAACCGAATCCATTGTTTTAATGGGATATTGGGAAATTGGTTCCAGCTCACCGAAAAGTACATACAAAGTAAAAAAAAAAAAAAAAATGCAGTAAAGTACACTTACTTTGAGGTGTGTATGTAGAAGGTTCCTGGTTGATGATGATGATGGAAATTCGAAGTGGGGGTGGAGAAGAAGAGAGAAGAGAAGGAAGTGGGGATGGAGAATAAATCACCTTTCAGGGGACCCATGCTTGATGCCGTCATTTCACCAATAAAATTTTCAGTTCACTAGGTGTAATTCAAGATTATTTAATTTAAATCAATACTGCACTGCGTTATATATTTTCAATATGTTAACTAAATATCAGAATGACCAATAATTTCAATGTAAAAATGCAAAAATATTCAAAACACCAACAAAATAGATGTTCACTCCACTGTCAACAATGCCCAACTGACGCCTGTTGGCTGAGTCAAGCATCTGATGGGCACACAAAAAACTAGTTCCCTGTACTGCATATATTATCAATATGTTAAATAAATGCTAAAGTGACTAAAAATTTTAATATAAAAAATTAAAAAATATTAAAGAGCACAACTTTATTGATATTTACTCCACTGGAAACGAATGTAAACATAGAACAGATTACTGAATTGGCAGACTAGCCCATCAGCTAATCAGCTGATGCTCAAAACAAAACGTGATGTTTGTAAGGATTTTGTTAATCAAAGTTTTGTTCGTTAACCGAATTGAAGATCCTTATGGGAGGTAATTCACAAACCGAAATTTCGTTAATCGAACCGTTTGTTAACTGAGGGACCACTGTACAGTAGACACTTGCCATTCGCGGTAAGCAGTTGGTGGCTAGCTTGCAAGCCTTTTCCCGCAGCACAACGATTCACCTCACGCAGCATCACATGTTGTACTCTCAAAAGTTTAGTGTTTCTGTGTGAAATGGCCCCTAAAAGGCTGCCTAGTGTCAGTGCTACTGATGCTGGTGGGGTGAAATGTAAAAGGCAGAAGTCAGTGATGACCCTGAGAAAGAAAGTTTTATTATTAGATAAGTTAAAAGAGGGGACGAGTGCTGTCACGACTGGTCAGTTGTTTGGTATAGGAATACAGTAGTGCACTAAGGTAGTATAAGTTGCTATTCGCAGTTTTTCCAATTCGCGTCATTTCTGAACCTATCCCTCGCGAATGGCAAGGGTCTACTGTACTTTTACTCCAATACAATAGAAAAAACAAAAATCGTTACTTGTTACACGACCCAAACAATGAGTTTTAATGTCTGTGGCAAACAAATAATACTTTATGTTATTTAATTAACTAATTAATTATTAACCATAATAAAGGAGTTTTGTGGGTGGAGGGTGATGTCAGGTCGGGTCAGGTGGCAGTGGCCATGACAGCGGACTTTCCCTTTGATCTTCCTGTGTCCATTAGCACCTTGACCACCCACCTCACCTGGCCTACCCTCTTATCCCCTCTCTTCTCCCCACCTTTCCATCAGGGCCTTGGTCTTCCCATTAGACGTCAGTTGCTCTTTGCATATACCTGTACCTTAAATTAATTTCAAAGAGACTGTGAGTCTAAAATGCTTTACATAATTCCATCTTAGATATAAAGCCTGTATCTATACATGTGTGTGAGACCGAGTGTAATTAAAATTCTGCTTAGATAACTA